TTTAAATGGTTTTATTTTAATAAAATTTTGTATAAGTACTTAATGAAGCATAATAAGTAAATGATAAAAATTTCAAAATGATTGCACTGCTTTAAAGCCCTTTGACCTTTAATAATGTGTGGATGCACCCTGATGTGCTACGCATTCTCCAACGCGCCTAGGCATGCTTCTGATCAGGTGGTTAATGTCCTCCTGTGGTATCTCATTCCAGGCAACCACCAACTCCTCTCGAAGTGCTTCTACAGTCTGAGGAGGACGTTGCAAATTGAGCAATCTCCTACCGATCATATCCCACACGTGCTCAATTGGGGATAAGTCGGGAGATCTTGGTGGCCATGGTAACAATGTGACATCATTATGTTGAAAGAAGTCTATTGTGACTCTTGCAACATGTGGTCGGGCATTATCTTGTTGGAAAGTTGGATCTGCCAGGGTGTCAAGATAGGGTAAAAGATGGGGTTCTAGAACTTCGTGGATATAACGCTGCGCGTTCATGTTACCTCTGATGAAGATTAAAGGTGACCTGGAACCATAAGCTATAGCACCCCAAACCATAACTCCAACAGTGTGATGAACATGTCTCTCAACAAAAAACTGTGGATTCCTCCTTTCACCACGTCGCCTTCTAACCCTTACACCGACGTAATCGCCTTGAGTGGTGCAGACAACGGTCACTCTGGGATCAGGAATGGAACAGTATTGTCTTTAGTGATGAGTCTCGATTTTGTTTAGGCATGCACGATGGTCGTGCCAGGGTTAGAAGGCGATGTGGTAAAAGGAGGAATCCACAGTTTTTTGTTGAAAGACATGTTCATCACACTGTTGGAGTTATGGTTTGGGGTGCTATAGCTTATGGTTCCAGGTCACCTTTAATCTTCATCAGAGGTAACATGAACGCGCAGCGTTATATCCACGAAGTTCTAGAACCCCATCTTTTACCCTATCTTGACACCCTGGCAGATCCAACTTTCCAACAAGATAATGCCCGACCACATGTTGCAAGAGTCACAATAGACTTCTTTCAACATAATGATGTCACATTGTTACCATGGCCACCAAGATCTCCCGACTTATCCCCAATTGAGCACGTGTGAGATATGATAGGTAGGAGATTGCTCAATTTGCAACGTCCTCCTCAGACTCTAGAAGCACTTCGAGAGGAGTTGGTGGTTGCCTGGAATGAGATACCACAGGAGGATATTGACCACCTGATCAGAAGCTTGCCTAGGCGCGTTGGAGAATGCGTAGCACATCAGGGTGCATCCACACATTATTAAAGGTCAAAGGGCTTTAAAGCAGTGCAATCATTTTGAAATTTTTATCATTTACTTATTATGCTTCATTAAGTACTTATACAAAATTTTATTAAAATAAAACCATCTAAACTGGGTGTTCGGATTTATATGTCACTTAGTATAGTTCAATGCAATTGGATCTATGCCATAATACTTCAACTTCGCTATTCACTGTTACGCCTATTTATTTATTAAGTGCTTTAATAATACTGTCAACTAAGTTTAGGAAGGAAGTAGTAGAACTGAAAGATATCCTAAAAACAAAGTAAACATGTGAAAAGTGCAAAATATTGAATTTTCTGGAGGACCAGCAAATAGAGGCTGTCGTTCTAATATCGACCAAAAAAATGAAGGACGCATTCCTTGTTCGATAATGTCAGGGGTTCTATGGCCTTGTGCAGAAGACAGGGTGCAGCTAAGGGATGTGATAACCTATATAAATGTAGGGCATACGTATGTATTAGGGTAAAGATTTTATGGACCCTGGGGTGTGTAATACGTAATAAAAAATGGGCTGAATTCCACGGTAAATGTCTAGCGCTATATCAACACCTACATTTTTCATAATGATGCACTGGAACGGCAAAACATAAATATCAAGATACAATTTTGATTTGGCCTAGATCTTGTAACTATGGAATATCTACCTTTAGGTTCTTTATTTTGTCCATAAAAATACGTTTTGGCCGTAAATTCGGTAATTTAACCAAATGTTTTGGAATACCAGAAAATACGTTTGAAATGAGCAAGGAAGGCGAAATTGAAGGTTAATCATTACTTGTTGTCGACGGGGTAACGCTTCCATTTCCATGTTGCCACATATCATATGACATAAATGTGTATCTATGAAAAAAAATTAATATTTTATCTAGTGCCGCTAGTGAAATTTATAGGAATCCAAGTATAAGTACATATTATTCTATTCGAGAGGGTTCAGTCGTAGTTTCGTTCACAACTAGTAGCGAGCGTTCCGTCGTCGGTCCGACCCCAATTAGAAGCAAAGTTGTCATTTGGGTTCGGTCTTTGAAAAACGTTAACTTTTTACGCCAGTATACAACAATACAATAATATATAATATGATAATATAATGTGTATCTATGTAAACTTCATTAATATTTCATCTGCAGCTGCAATAATTTACATTGTAATCCTAAAATTGATAAGAATCCAAGTAAACATTTTATTATAAAAGAGAGCGTTCAGTCGTCGGCCCGACCACAACTAGTAGCGAGCGTTCCATCGTCGGTCCGACCCTAACTAGAGGCGAAAGTTCGGTCCTTTAAAAACGTCAACTTCTCACGCCAGAATGCAACAATACAATACAATAATATATAATATAATACAATAATGTGTATCTATGGAAACTTTATTAATAGTTATCTACAGCCGCAGTGATTTACCTTTTGCGCTCACAACTACTACGTTACTTTTTTTTACTTTCAAACCAAATTTATTTACTCGAAACCAAGGCTGAATGAATATTATCCAATTCCATCTGGAAGGCATGACAGTCCTCTATACTTGTAATAGATAGGAAAATTTTCAAATCGTCAACATAAAGAAGTTTATTACAATTGAAGCCTTTGATACACAAACTCAGATTTTATAGTTGGGAGATAATTGGCCTCAATGTTTAAAACCTGGCATTTTTTATTTAATAGTGTCAGTTCTGCTTTTATTATTGAAGGTTATTTCAGACACATATAAAAGTACCTAGAGTACCTAGACAGTTTTGTTAAAAAAATTGTTTTTATTATCAAAAATTTGAAAAAGATTGTTGAAAATGAAAACAGCAGAAAGGTGTTAATTCAATGATGTTATTTATTAAAAGTAAGCATTATTTTTTCCTATTACAGACTCACAAAAGTAATAACAAATAATCCACTCACTGTAACTAATCATCTCCTCTTCTTAAGTTTTGATAAAAGCCTCTATAATTTGCTGGTATTGAAGGAATTTGTTCCTGAATATTTTTAAACTGTTTGGCCTCAATACGTCGGCTTCTATCGACATTCAATAATAATGGTTCATTTTCTACTCTTCTATCGAAATTCCGCTGTTTTCTTATACCAACAATAGTCAAATTTTCCGTTTCATTAAAAGAGTATCTGTACTTGGTTACACCAAATTCTTCAATCTGGATTCATCTTACATCTCTGAATGAAAATTTCTCATTAGTTGTAATTTTTTCTATCGACTAGTCCAAGTTTTCTTGGAAATCGCAATTCTTCTAATATTAAAATGTGTTTTTCCTGGCTTCTGCCATGATTAAAATATATTGATCCACCGTATAAATTAGATGGTGCTTTCTGATAGACTTTTCTACAGCTGTAAAATCTCTATCAGAGTTCATGAACGTGTGTCCTACTTCAGGGGACTTATGGCCAATTTTTTTGAACACTCCAGAGATTATTAGGTAGTACCATGGACAGACAATATAAATTTTTTATTTGGCACCTGCCGAATCACTCCATGCAATCAGATGATCGGAAGCCATGCTTTGGTCCTTGATATTTTCCAAAAAGGCCATAAGTGAGCTGCCAATCTCTTCAGGACCGCGATTTCCTTAGTCTTCTGTACAGACGCGGAAAAAACCTTTACCGTTTGGTTGCTGTGTTATGTGTGCTTTGCAATTTCAAAAAACTAATTTTTACATTTTGAACGAAAACTCTGTTGTATAATCTTACAAGCTAATAAAATACTAAAACTTCACATACCTCATCCATTTAAAAAAAGCAGTCCAAATGTTGTAAAAATCAGAAAACGAAACGTGTTCAAACGCAGACAAATTGAAATTTGAGTGCAAAAAGGTGTTAACTCTTGGGTTAACAACTTTTTACCTATAATGCAACAGTTAACACCTTTTGAAGTTTACAGATTGAATTTTTTGATATAGTTAACACTTTTATGAATCTATGTATCTAAGAACTGAGAGCCTTCTTTGGTCGGATAGATTTACTACCAACAAAAGTACCCTTTTAACACCTTTTTGCAGTACAAATCTCAAAATCCGAAAAAATTGAGTTTTTTTGCAGCAAAGTCTTCAATTGAGAGTATCACACAAGTCATTTATAAATATTGTGATGGATTCATATTAAGAGCCGTATCGTCAGTCGTTCCTACATATATGTAGGCCGCCTTTATGGACTTCTTTATTTCCATAGTCTTTTATCTCCTTCAGAGAGGTTGGAGTATTTCTGGATTTCTACTGTTCCAAGTCAGCGTCAGCGCTCTCCTATTGTGAGGTTATGTTACATTTTAGAATTGTAGGAAATTTCAGGCTGATAAAACAGATGATGTAAATCAAAAGCATGAACAATTTAATGCAAATAGATATTGTGACATAACCTTAAAATCCAGGAGGCCATATAATATTACGTAAAAAGTAAATTGTCCAGTCGGTTATGGAAAAATCTCGAGCGCAAAGAGCTTTGCCGCTCTCTTATTGGGGATTGTAGAAAAAATTATCGCAACCTACCTACATAACCGAATCCCGGCGCGTGAAAAATGACATGTCATACATCCGACACCGTCAGTGCCAGGCAAGATTGTAATATCGGCTACTTGTTGATGCGTGCAGGGGGCGTCTCGACCGACAAATCGCGTGCCGGCGCACACACCGCTGCGTGATTTCCGGCCAATCGGAGCGCTCCGATACGCCCACTACCGCCCACTCATAGCCCTCTACTCGTTACGACTGGCATTCATTAGTGACTCGTCGTAGGCAAAAGCAATAGCGGGACACACCAACGATCGTGTCGTCTTGCTTGCTTGCAACCAAAATCGCGATACACAATTTCGTTCGTGTTACTGCTGTCTGTGTTGTTTTGTGCGTTGGCGTTTCTGTGATCATGATACAGTGTTGCCGGTCTTACGAGAATCAGTGACAACCTGACATTTTGGATCTACACCTCTGTGTTTGTTTTTTGCATCATATTATTACAATGACTTCATATAACAAGTTGCATAAATACCCCAAAATATTTCATTGTTTCACCTAAAAACCACCAGGTTCCAAACTCAGACATTTTTATTTTTTTAAGACTACTATTATCAAAATTGAATAAAGCAGCTACTATAACAAGTTTAGGTACTTTTTGGTATGTGCTAGATTCCGATTTTTTCTTTCACGTTTCAGCCCGTTTCTTTATTCCTTGATTAATTTCCCATTGCACCAAATATTTGATATAACATGCCTGTCTTGATCCATTTGGCAACATTGCTTCTCAATGAGCTTATTGAAATTGCTGCCTAAACATCCACTGAATCCTAATTTTCTTATTCCTCACGCTGGATAGACAAACCAAAATCAAGTTTATATCATATATAGGTATTATATATATAGTATATAGGGTGTCCCAAAAGTCGACGTCAAGTCGGAAATGGGTGATAGGCCAAGTCATAATAGTTATCAGAAAAATATAAAATCCATCTTCATTTATTACCATTGTACAGTCAGCAACAATAATAATTGAGCTACGTTTTCCTTATACAGTAGATATTGAGAAATCTCTGACAATTATAATGACGTCCCGACACGTTTCCATTTAGGTAAATACCTTTTACTGGAAACTTTCACAGACCTGGTGAATGTTATAAGGAAAAGGTCAGCTTCTTTCTTGACACCTTGACTGACTTAGCACTCTTGAGATAATTATTTTGTTATCATTACCAGAGTCTTTAGCTTTGCGTGGTTGCCACTTGTCTCAATTTTCCATATTCTGGGGAAAAGTGCAACAATTTCTGCCTTTCACAGTACTCACAATTTTTGTACGGGCTGTGATGAAGACCGCAAAATAATGACATTGGGAACTATGTGGGAGAAAATCGGTACGCGTTAGTGATACAATATAGACATTAGTGCACAGTGAAAATGCTGCCTTACCAGGCAGTCGCGATGGACTATGCGGTGTCATCGAGTTTCCAACGACATCAACCATCACTGGGTCTGGGAGTCAACATCAACCCAGCGTTTACTCACTCCTGGTTGGTACCGGCGGATATCTGTGTCCCCTACAAACAGACTCCTCTCCTCGAACCAGGGCATGTCAAATTATTATCTGTTTTTATCTTTTATTATTTTCATCAAATCTGCACAACCCTAGTATGTACTTGCACTCTGTCGAACAAACTGAGATCAAAAACTCCAAGGCTCATGCACATTTACCCCGATGTCGAAGGTCTATTGATCCAAACGGTGGGTCCATCATCGGGCTCCTCGTTTATATGCAGTTTATATCACTGACGTACCAGAAACAATGCACTGTATCTTACATTGATTTAACAGTTCCCAATATCATTAACATGGCTAAAAGATATTCATAAACAATAATTTCTTTTTCGTGTTTTCAATAATAATTTTATTAGAAACGTCAATTTTCTGAAGATGATGTAAACGGATATTTCAAAAACCATTAGTTTCAAAGTGAGTGTCTATTGGTTTTGCACGTCAAATCAAAGTTCTCCGAGAGACCGACGTCAAGTTAGGGTTGCCTATCAGTAGCATCAAAGATTTTCAATTAGGGGCAAAAATGGACAAGATGGCAAATTTTCGACATCACCAGCCTCCAAAACTCGATTCATCTCATGCATGACCATTTGACGAAAATTGTTAGCATACTGTTGACAACCCTCACGGAAGAGATAAATCACAAATCAGTTTGTTCGATTGAATTTAGAAGTAGTTTCGATTATCCCGTACATCCCATTATTTCAATGTTACTAGGTTTTGAAATGAAGGATGCTATGATACATATCAACTAATATTTCTACTCAACAGTTTATAATGGTAATAATGTAATTATACATGGGCTTTATTTCGTATAAAATTACAACTTAATTTTGCACATTTAGCGTAATTTTGATAAACCTTATACTCTGAATACAGTAGATTTGCTCAGCTTCCGTTCGTTGTCCACAGAGACCAAGCCTACATCATGCTGAAGAGTCTCAAAATAGCACGAAACAGTTAGCCATGGTCTGTGGCCGTCGAATGAAAGCTATATTAGAGGAACTGCAGCATATTTGGAATACTGGTTTGTTTTTTGGAAATAAATTGTAAGATAAACGGGATAGCATAATGAAAAATACATTAAATTATTGGGAAATCATTCAATTTTAATGGTATAAGCAATCAAACAAAACAAGAACATGTAACCCCATCAAAATATTTATCAAAATAAAAAACTCCAAAATCGTAAATTTACTCAGGCTGCAGGTAATTTGGAATATAGTATTTCAAATTATTATCACCTTTTTTTGACATTTCATTACACTATTTCCTAGAAATTTCTCAACTTTGTAAACGTTTTACAGTCTTTGGTAATTAATCTGTTTAGCAAAATAGTTTATAATTATTAAGTTATCAGTCACAATAATCACAAATAAGTATTTAGCCTGAACTTATAGTTTGGTGTCCTTAGTTACTGTTCTTACAACAATCATAGATATACACACCGGATTCATAACCACTACAAGCAGCATGAACCCACATTAAGCACATTTTCTCCTTTTCCCATCTATTTCTTTTATTGTATTTGTGGGATGTTGATATTTCTAAAAAACACAGAGCAATTAATACCTATACCGTAAATATGTGCATTAAATTTGGAATATTCCAAATCATATTCACTTGCGGTACTCCAAAATAACATCCTAACATAAAATTCCATGTCACATTTCTATTTCTAAATATATTCACAAAATCAAAATAAAATTGTAAACTAACAAGGACTCATAACAGTTCAAATAATTGCAATGAAGATTTTACGTATCAAAGTAAATGATTGTCAATGTTTGCATTCTTACCGAACAAGTTTTCAAAGTAGACGTCTCGTTCCCGTGTGGCTGGCAACCGGAAATGTCAATATGGCGTCCTGTTTTTAGAACTTGTGGTTTCGTGTGATTTACGACATTATATTTACGGCAAAAAAATACATATGGCGTTTACATTTATTTAGATAACTAACATAGGTATTCCAAGTTATCCGCAGTATTCCAAATATGCTGCACTTCCTCTACTAATGTATTTAAATTGTATTGCTCTTCTACATAGGGCTGATAAAATTATTCTCAAGCCAGCTCCTGTGTACTTTGGTTTTTACTAATGCTAGAGATAAAATGCATGCATCTTATGATCATACTTGTTTGTAATCTTTACTTTTAGCGTGGTTAGTACTCGGATAAATAAACGAGACGGTTGAAATAACGTCTATAACCAAAATCAAAGAATATTCTAAATCCAATATATAACATAACTCTGATAATTCTATTGGTTTTCTTGTGATATTGAAGTTAGCATTTTTGCACAGGTTAGAATTCGTTTTCGTTGTAATCTAACGTAGAAATCGGCTTCACAAAACTATAGCATGTCTTATGATAAAATATCATTCGAATTGTGTAATCTAAATGGACTTATCAGCGGGACAGGAAATTTTCCTCAACTGCAAGCACAACACCCCGTACAATATTTCTCGCAGCAACTAAGTCAGGTTTATGTCGGTTGTACTCAGCTTTCATACCGAACTTGTCAAATTTCTTGCTAAATAATAAAAAAATTAAATACAGTATTGGCTTCCTGAGCCGCTTTCCAGTGCCTCATTTGTGTTACTCAGAGTAACTCGGAGCTACCCACCACCCGTCAATACCGATCCAGCGCTCTTGAGTGTCATGCACCTGAGCTACTCATTTATAAAATCCCCTGCCCCCTCATGCACCAGCTTTTTATTCGGTGTTATACTCGAACGCTCCGAAATAGTGGAGATAACAAAATGACAATGTGTCAAGATTGTTAGGTTATGTTATTCGTCGTTTTTTTTTTGGCATTAAACTCACATTAAACCGATACCAGACAATGGAAGATGGTAAAAAACTGATAATATGACCCAGAGTCACTACGTACATTTGAGATGTTCCTGAAAAATAAGGATTTCAAGAGAGTGCAAGAATGCAGGTTCATAGTGGCTTGAAATTGGCTTCATCTATAACTAGACACTTTGAAAATAATTGTGAATGTCTACACTAAAATATGAATTCGACACATTAATCCAGAAGCGTTACAACAAAAATGCAGACCTCTGACGTATTGCACCATCATTCTAAAAGCATCCATCATCAGGCATAAATTCGATAGTTTGACAACGCTTCTGAAAATAAAGGTAAAATGAGTTTACATTTTAATTGTTTGGCAGTGTGATACAAATTGTCAACGTCAAAGAAAAACATCAAAAAACAGGTTAGGCTTTTATCGTCGCGATCCCGTGGACATTTGCTTGAGCAGTTCGAGAGCATCACACCCCGGGTGCATACAACTCTGAATTCAGAAGCACTGGAAAGCGGCAAGATTATAAAATTGTTCTTTATTTTGAAACGGAATAATATTGAAAAACAATTAGCTAAATATTCAATTAGACGGTGGATTTCGTTAAAATGTTTACTTCCAATCAAACTATGTCACTAATTTCCGTCTGTCTGTCGGTATGTCCGCTAATTTTATAACCGCCTGTATCTTGAGAAGTGCTGTTCGGATTTTGATGAAATTTTCACACAAGGCTACTATTGTGCCAAGAATGAAAAAGCTTTGTGGTTTTTACCAATTGGTCTAGTAGTGGCAGAGCTAGGAACAAGCACCCGAAAAAATAAAAATCACATAATCTCCCTTTTTTGACGTTTCGGAGGTTCCTGGTCATTTTTGGAAAAAAATTTGTAGAGGTTGAGATTTAGAGATTGTAGTGGTTAGGAAATTTATTTGGTATTAGTCAAAGATGTTCTATCATTAAGAAGCTTCTGATCCTGGTAACAACAGTAAAATTAAATGATAAAAGTCCGATGTATAATGAGCTCATAATTCGAAATAACTTGGCATTCGTTCGCGTTGCGTGCATGGCGCGATGCTGCAACGACGTGGAATCCACTGCCGACTGTGCAATGGGTAACAAACTCCAATTGGTCTGCGGTGGTGTCGTCACTGATTCACCGCTACAGGCGAAATTTTTCGACCCATTATTTTCATTTGAAACTTCCAACGAAGGCATAGGAAGTGTAAAGTCAATCTACTTGACGCCATTTTTTATATACTGAGTGACAAAAAAAGGTAAGTACCTACGTATGTTTATCCGATTTTAATAATTTTTGACATACATGTTCAGTGTCCCTTATTAGTAAAATGATTAAATTTTCATCTTGATTCGTCAACTGACTGCAGAAGCTGGTTCAATAATGTATTGAGGATCCACGATTTCTTATACACTCATTGACACGCCTGGGCATCGTGCTGATAAGGTGGTCGATATCCTGTTGGGGTATCTCAGGCTACTCTCAGGATGAAGTTGTCTTAGCCTTGAAGCAAATAAAACCTAAGATGACTACCGGACCGGATAATGTACCAGCTTTTATTTTGCGTGACTGTGCCTCTGTGTTGGCGTGTCCTTTGACCGTTTTATTCAACTTGTGCCTTACCACCTGCACAATTCCAGAACTATGGAAGTTGTCTAAAGTATGTCCAATACACAAAAACGGCAGTAGGAATGATGTATCAAATTTTAGACCTATATCAATATTGTGCAATTTTTCAAAAGCTCTAGAGATATTAATATATAACAGACTATATCATCATGTCAGCAGAAAAATATGTGTTCAACAACATGGTTTCATGAAAGGGCGCTCAACAGTATCAAATCTGATGAACTTCACACAGACCATAGCAGAAAACATTGACAGAGGATTACAAACAGATGTGGTCTACACAGACTTCTCCAAGGCTTTCGACAGAGTTGATCACAGGATGCTATTGCATAAGCTGAACTCTCATGGATTATCTGATCCTTTAATACAACTATTTAAGTCCTACCTCACTGGAAGAAATCAATTTGTGATGTTTAATGGCAGCAGATCGTCGAAGTATGTAGCCAATTCCGGAGTGCCACAAGGCAGTAACCTAGGGCCTTTATTGTTCGTCATATTTGTGAATGACATAGTCAATGCTGTTG